GGCTTTTGTGCAGCCACTCAATGGGGCCACGTTACCTCATGGCCTGTGAGGTTCCAGAATTAGCACAGGGAACCCAGAGAGGTGTCCTGTGCTGCTGCAGAGGGGACATGAGTGTAAACCCATGGGACACTTGGGCATGGAAGCAGCAGAGAGTGAGGAGATCACTGGAATCTTCCCCCAGTATGAGTTTTTCACTGGTGAAACTGGGGGCTAGGGGACTGGTGGTACCCCTCCTCACCAGCAGTGGGATAAAAGGCTCCCAGTGAGCAGCACAATGGTGCTTCAGAGCTGTTTATTCCAACAGACCAATTCATTTCAGCTAATTGCCAAGAGTTTTTAAATGATTCCTGGCAGGGGTGAAGCTAAAGGAATGATTGCTGGTGATTGATGAATAACCTGGATAAAATTCCCAAAGCACCAGAACTATTAACTCTTGCATGGGGACACCTGCTTTTATTTAGTGCCTTGCCCACAGAGAAAGGCACGGAGTGAGTTCCAAATGAACCCAAATTTGGGCAAATAAAAAGAATAGAGCATTTACTGATACCAGTGTCTCATCAGTGTCAGCTCATTTCTCAAAAATAGCTCACAGGGAATGTTATTTAACCCTGTGCTGCTCTGTTGTGGTCAGGATCGTGCATGGAAGGGAGAGATTTTGAAGAGCAGTTACCATCTCTTAGAGAAGGGCACGGGAAGAATCAAAGGTATGAAGTTTCTAACTCCACAAATATAAATACACCACACTGATTTGAGCTGTTCTTGCCTTTTACATGGTGAAAGAAAACAGCGAGATGCACTGTGGATGGGGCCAAGATTGTGTTTCTCACTGGAAAATATCTACAGGCTCATGGAAATTTTAGGGTAACTGGGTGCCATTTTACAGCGTCTGTAATAGGGAAAAAGATAAGGTGATTTCTGTTTGGAAATTGATGGTTTGGAGGGAATGGGAAAACACTGGTGCAGTGGAGGAGAACTCCAGCAATAGCCATCTGTTTAAATGGATACACTAACTTCCCTAAGCTGGTATTTTTCAAATACCCTACCAGCAATATTTTTCACTATAGCAATGTATTCTAGTGAAATGGAAAGATGCTGAGGAAGTAGTTTTTTTCCAGCATGTGCTGCATTCTTTTAATACAGATTTTTTTATTGCCCGGAAATTGCTAACCAATGTGAATAAACAGCTGAACAAAGCCCTCGGCCCTTCCTCACTAACAGCAAAATGCAGCCAGTGAGGGAAGGGCCTTGGGAAAACCAAGTGTTAGAGTTGGGTTCTCTTATATTGCAGAAAGCTTTATTCAAAACAGGAAAAAAATCTGCATGCCACAAAGGTTTTATATTACAAAAGCACAGACATTTTTCACATCTCTGAACAGTGTCCCCTCGTTCCTGCTGCTATGGCGGGCACTGAGCAGAACCAAGCAGTTCTTTGTTAAGCACCTTTTTTACTGAATATTTGCAAAGCACAACCAATTTACCACCCCGAGCCACGAGGTCCCTTCCCTGCAGCCCTGTGAGCTGACAGAGCTCCTGAATCTCATCCCTCTAGTGAAATCAGTGGAACAAGACAGCACTAGGATGGAGCAGAGTCAAGAATTAAGGCTCTGCAAGACTGGAGAATCCCACAGCCTTGCAAAATGCTTCAAAAAAGAAGAGGGAAAAAATACTCAAGCAAAGTGTAAGGTACAGCTTTCTGCAGTGCCTAGGGATTGCTGCCTGGGCCTTAAACAGGAGTATTACATCCTTATAATTCAATTTATCAGTGATTTCACGTTCCTGTGTTATGAAAGCTGTTTTGTTGCCACATGAAATAGCCCAGGTCACTGTAGCTTCAGGGGTGTATTTCATTATCCCATGAGTAAACGTCATTTGGTGTAACACATACATAAATAAAAGTAGCAGTAGTCTAGCAAGGTGCAATTCTGTGATTTCACCATCATGATCTTGAAATACTTATGCCCTGATATGTTATTGATGTGGCAAAGCTGCCTGGCTTTAGCATGTGTTAATGTTTCCCACCCTTCAGCCATCCCCAACCCTATACCCACATATTTCTTCTTTTCCTATCAGAGCCTTCAGCCAGGCGCCCCTGGGAAAGCAGCACTCTGCCATCTCATCTGGTGTGAGAGCCCCCAGAAGAGACATACACTGAGCACATGGCTCAATGTCCTCTGCATCTCTTCATAAAAGGCGAGGGGAGAAAAGCCAAAGAGCCATTGCACAGATTTCAATAAGCATTGCAGAACACAAGTAGCCCAGAAGGATATTTGAGGTGTTCCTGTGCCCTTGCCAGAGGACAGTCAGAGCTGGGTGCAGACACCAGCAAAGCCAGAGTCCCCTGTGAACTAAACAGCTTCCTTTCCATATATTTCACCTGAAAATATCCAACCACTTGTCCCCCTGACTCAGTTACTAACAGCAGTACCAGCTGTAGGTGCCCATGGTTTGAGTGGTCATTAGCATTTTAAATAGCATTTCATTTAACCATGCAAATGAGGAAAGTTTCTGGCATTCCAGCACTTCCAGGCCCCTGGGCCCAGCTGTAATCTAGAAATGCAGCAGAAAAGCCTCTTTTTTGTGCCTCTGAAGGCCTCAGGTCATCTTTGGGATAGGTGAATGTGTGCTGCACTTCTTGCTTCATGTGAGCAGAGTCACTTCTCTGCAGCAGGGGAGTGATTTCCCTGGCAGTGGGGGTGGCCAGCGTTCTCAGCATCACACAGCTGATCCTGGGCTGGTGACAGGCTTAAGAGTGGCTGAAGAACCACACGTAAACATGACAGAGCTTCACCAGGCACTTTACATCACAGCAAAAGTGATGTTTCCCCCAGCATCATTATGGCAGTGCTATTTGGGCTGGTACAGATCAGCATCTGTCACTGTTTCCATTAGAATCTCCTATTTCCCTGGGTTCGTAGCTCAGCCATAAAAAAAATATAAGATAGAGGCAGAAAGTTGACACACAAGGTCTTGGGCTGAGAGTGATCACTGTTGTCTTTTCTTCCCCCGCTTTTAATCTGAAGAAGGAAATAAAGTATTTCTGCAGAGACACACCTGGCCCACTGCATTTCCACCCAGCCATGGATTTATTTCCAGTGAAAAATAACTGATAGGACAATTGGAATGGCCTTAAGCTGAAGGAGAGCAGGTTTAGATTAGTTATTAGGAAGAAATTCTTCACTGTGAGGGCAATGAGCACTGGAACAGGTCCCTGGAAGTGTTCGAAGCCAGGTTGGAAGATGTCCCTGCCTATGGCAGGGGGTTTGGAACTGAATGATCTTTAAGATCCCTTCCAACTCAAACCATTCTGTGATTTTATGATTTAGCAATAGTGATGGTCACCTTTCAACATTCAAGCTGTGAATGTAGCTGCTGTTCCACATTTCATCTTAATTACTGCATTAGGGGTGATCAAGAAGGACATGTGGTAGTGGGTTGGGGCTCTGGTTTGGAGCCTATTGCTGCCCCAGTGAAGATTAAGGACTTTGGAGTTTATAATCTTTGCCAGATGATGAAATGAAAAATTGCAATATAGAGAAATAACAGCTGGATATTGTAAAAACAGAACCCTGTGAGGAACCAGAGGTGTAGGAGACCCTTTAGGATTAGAGGTAACAGAAGGAAAAGCAAGCCCAGCATTGAGGTTTCCCTCATGAGACAAGAAGCAAAAAATTCCACCCCACACATTCCAAGTCTGCACTCTATGTTTTGGCTGCTTTAGGCAAATTTCCACCCTGTAATGTTGCTGCTAGAGAGTGAAAACCCTATCCCTGCCTGAGTTCTACTGAGATCCAGCATCTGGATCCTGGCACCGTCGGGTCAGTGATGAAGCAAGAGCAGCATTTTGGCAGGAGGAAGGGCCAGCAGCAGTTTGTCACTGGGGACACAGGCAGGACAACAAGAAAGTGTCCTTTCTTCTTCCCATTTTAAGCATCTCTTTGTTCTGTTCACACATGTTGTAGAAAAAGTTGCAGCTGAAAAAGCTTTTCTTTTGTACATTAGGACGATGATGTGAGGCAGTTCTAAACAGAACAGACCCCAAAAATGCCTTCTCCAAAGTTTCTACTCAAAATTTAAAGGACCTAAAAAAATCAGATGATCATTTCTGTCCTGTTGAAATGCAGATCTTGCTTCTGACCTCTGGATCATACATTCAAGTTCTTCATTTCCAACAGGACTTCTCTGCCAGAGAGAACAGGAAGAACACACCTGGGAAATGTGTGTCTGCATTGAGTCAGGGATTTTACTGAGACCTGTGTGTTTGACTCTGCAATCTTAAGGCCATTCTATCACTACCAGAAGGAAGTTTTGCTTTCTGATTGCAGACTCAGCTTGGCCTTGTCACAGATCTTAAAATTGAGCTGTGCTGTGTGGCTGGGAATGCTCAGCACTTCTGGAAGGTTGGGCCTTGCTAAGCACAGGCAGCTGAGCAGCTGAAACCAGCACACCAAAATAGGGCCATGTTTACTGTATCAAACTAAACGTGCAGACTAAGTTTGGATCAAATGGAAAAAGCAACACCAGAAAAGACAAATGTACAATAAATGGTTTAGGAGACAAGTACACCAACACAACAGGATTTTAAGCCTATACCAGCTGGGAGGTGGTGGGGAGAAAAAGGAAGGGACTGGAAAATCATGCTGTTCTATTTCACTCCATCTTTTAGCAGAGAGGCCACTTCATTTTCCTCAGTCAGGAATTCATCTAACAAATCTGTGAGCATGGGGCACCTGCCTGCTCTTGCACATCACAGCCATCCACCTGTCCAGAGGTTTATCCATCTGTTCCCATGGATGGCTCCTGTTGAGTTTTTTTGCATCTTCCATAAGCTGTTTTGAGTAAAATCCTTGAACTTTCATAGGGCAGTAGAAATTACTCATTATGGTGGTGCAGGTGACCAATTCAGACCCTGTGGGTATAAAAATAATACTAATGGCTCCTCCTGTGTCTTGGCTGTTTGATTCCCACCCTTCACACTGCTCTCCCTTTCTGTTTCGGAGCAGGTGTTCTGTGACACCAGTCGGGTCGTACAGGCTGGGGACGTGCTGGACTGGGAAGACAAGGATGCTGCAGAGACACTGGTTGACAACGTGGTCCATTCCAGGATCATCAACCCTTTACGCCTCTTTGTTAAGCCATCTCCAGTGCTGAAACACGGCCAGGTGTCCTACTCGGACAGCATAGAAAACTTTTGGGATTGGTTGTCCAACATCACGGAGGTTCAGGAATCTCTGGCACGAACTAAACGCAGACCTATAGTAAAAACTGGGAAATTCAAGAAAATGTTTGGATGGGGCGACTTCCACTCCAACATCAAAACTGTAAAGCTGAACCTCCTGATCACGGGGAAAATCGTCGATCACGGCAATGGAACCTTCAGCGTTTATTTCCGACATAACTCCACAGGTCTGGGGAATGTTTCTGTCAGCCTGGTGCCGCCTTCCAAAGTGGTGGAGTTTGAACCATCCCCACAGTCCACGCTGGAGACCAAGGAGTCCAAGTCCTTCAACTGCCGCATCGAGTACGAGAAAACAGACCGCGCTAAAAAAACTGCCTTGTGCAACTTTGACCCTTCCAAGATCTGCTACCAAGAGCAGACCCAAAGCCATGTGTCCTGGTTGTGTTCCAAACCCTTCAAAGTCATCTGCATTTACATCGCTTTCTACAGCGTAGATTACAAACTGGTGCAGAAGGTCTGTCCCGACTACAACTACCACAGTGAGACGCCGTACCTGTCCTCCGGCTGACCCAGCCATAAACACGAGCATTCCCATTCACCTTTTGGAGAAGAATATGTTTTCCTATCAGGTTAAAAAGTCTCTAAAAACTGTAGCTGTGTTCGTGCTGTACCGTAACTAATCCAGCTGTTTATGTAACAATCGTTTTCATTTGAGGCCGTTGCATTTTAGCTCTCTCATCATTCGTAAGGGAACTGCCAGGCAGGCACTAAAATCAAACAAAGTTATGTCAGTAATGAACATTGATCTTAAAAATCACTTTTTCAAACAACTCCATGGCAGAGAGGTTGTCTTTTACTTAAACTGGACAGCACTTAGCAGTTCCTATTTCTCATTGGGAACTTCAGGTGACAGTAGAAAGAACAAATGATGAAGGAGCCTCAAGGACGTTCATACTTCAAATAAACAGCTCTCCCACTGATTTCATAAAGAATGTTACACAGAGGACTCAAGTAGTCAAGTCCAAATACTGAGGAAGTGCTAATTTTTTGGAAAAAAAGGGAAGAAATCTGCATTTTTATGAGTTGTAGTAGCTGTAGGTGTTCATTGAAGTGAAGAGTGAGTAGTTCTTCCTTCAGACTTCCTACCCACAGATATGCAATGATGTAATTAGACCTTGATGAGCTTTAGTTTATTAGATCCCACAGGTGTGCACATGTGGTGTACATTCCATCCTCCTGTGCCCACCACTGGGTTTAATTCCTCTCACACATTCACACAAGCACACCCCAGTATTAGTTTTGCAACTAATTAGCAACAGAGAATCTATAAATACCTGGGGAAAAGATAATCTCTGTTTAAGTCAACCTGGTCTAGTGGAAGGTGCCCCTGTCCATGGCAGCAGGGGTTGGAACTTTGGATGATCTTTAAGATTCGGTCCAACCCAAACCATTCTGTGATTCTCTGAAGTCTGAACTGTAACAAGGTCTGGCTTCCAGGCTAAGGAAGCAATTATTTTGCTATCCAGCCTCTGAGCATTAAAGTGCAGCAAGGAAAACACAGCACAGCACAAGGATGACACCTGAACAAGCAGCTTTCTCCTTCTTGGCACCCGTGGTTCCCTTAGCACTGCACTGCACACCTTAAGTCAAAGTATCAGCCATGACAAAGAGAGAGAACAACAAAAATCTATGCACCTTCACCTCAACAAAGCAGGTTTGAAACTGTTAATACAGAGACTCAGCCAGGCTTTCCCCGAGTGCAGAACCAGCTCCATGCACTGTAGTTATGGCCAGGGAAGGGTCCAGCTCTGGTTGTGCTTCACCAGGTGTTGTCCCACTGCAGTCAGGAGTGCTTGGCTCTGGCCATGCAGGTTCCAGCACCATCCCCTGTGCTTTCACTGGGTATTGATCTGCTGCTGCTGCCAATTTGCTCTCCTGCTCCTTGATGACAGTTTGATGTCACAGGTCCAGTGGAAGGAGCTGGCTGAGGAGGTGCTGATTGCCTCCAACCAGACTCACATGCAGGGTTCACAAAGTTACACACAGCTTGAATAAAGCACTAGTGAAATACTGTTTGGTGATGTGCACACAGACAAGTGACTATGGCAGCTCAGAAGGACTCACTCATGAGATTAATTCTGATTTCCTTGGTAAAGACTCACACAAAAATTTACTCTGTTAAAAATATACGAGTAACTGGGTGATTTTTCTCTTTAGGTGACAAATTTAAATGTGTGGTTTAGTTTGATCAATAATCTAAATGTTTTCCTTCATCTTATTTCATACAGAGTCTCTCCTGGTCTATAATGATGTTTTTTAGTTTGCCTATTCCTGTCAATTCCTACAAGTTGGTCTACTTTGTATTCTGTATAGCGTGTCCTTGCCCCAGCTGTACATGAGCTTGGATTTATTGCTACGAGTTCAGTGGTTGGTGCTTTTGTAATTTAGCTGTAAGCCATGATTTTATTGCCATGTGTTTTTAATCAGCACTGTAGGCAATTAAAAGAAAACCCTACATGCTATTTATTGTAGAGTATGTGGAAACCATGTATGTATATACACCTAAATATGTGTACATATACAGAACATGTGTACATGTATTTGTATGTAAATAAAGAGAGTTTATTAAATCTGGCACTTGCTTGTGGCCTATTTGATTTTTGGTTTTAAATTTTGCATGCATGAAGACACAAAATAAAACTAAGGCACAGCAACATCTCACTGAACATTTTTGCCCAGCTGGAATTTGTTTTTCTAGGAGATATGTAAATTTGTGCTATAGTGAACTGTGCACAAGCCCAGGCAGAGTAGATTCAGCAGCATTCCATGATATTTGAGAAATGAAGCACATGTTTTGACGAAGACAATCATTAACTGTTTAATAATTGCACCAGGTACATTAAAAGTGAAGAGGAAAGTTTAAATTGGACAACATTCCCAAGCAGGAACATGCTGGGAGAGAAGGCAGCTGATTCAGCCTTTGTTCAGTTCCTCATCAAAAGAGGAGCTGGGTTTTCCTCCTCCCTGGCTGTGGCACTTCCCAGGCTGAGGTTTCCAGGGAAAACTCAAACAAACCATGGGAGAAGCTCACCCCAGTCTCCTCCCATCCAGCCATGGCACAAGGAGACAGACTGGCAGCTGGAGCAGAGGGAAGGAGCTGTGATAACCAACAAGTCCCCCACCACTCTTCCAACCACAACACTCTAAGAATCAGCTTAAAAGCAGGAGAGCAGGTGGCTGTTTTTTCTTTCAGATTTTGCAAACATCATGGCAAAAAAAAACCTGCTACATTCTTACTGCAGTCAAAATCTGATTAAGAAGAAATCATTTACACCCAGCAGGGTAAGAAAAATACAGTGCAATGATGACAGGCTTGATTAGGTCAGATGTCACACTGCCCATGTAAACAAAACTAAATGTGATTTTATTTCACACAGAACAGGCCGTGGTTTTTTTTAAAACATTTTCCTGTGTAATAGGTGACTGTTTCGGACAAGCTTCAAATTCTTATTATTATGGCCTTTATTCAAAGGATTTTGAAACAAAAACTTGAAAGATTAAATACCATTTTTAAAACGTGTCTTGAGTGGGCAATGACAATTTATGACCACAGCAACTTAATCTAGAAGTTTTTAATATACAGCCTTTATTTAATCCCAATCTCCACAGGATGGTTTTGGACACGTTTATATCAATGTAAATGACATAGAAGCATGGAACATCCTGAGGTGGAAGGGTCCCACAGGGATCATTGAATCCAGTTCCTGGACCTGCACAGGGCACCCCAAAAATTCCACCCTGTCCTGAAGCAGTTCATATTAAATATATAAACTTCTTGCCGAATAAATTTCCTATTTTTCGCCCCATCCAATGGATATACATTTAAAAATTGCAATAAAAAGCTCATTCATGACAAACAGATAAAGCCTCAGTTTTTTTCTTCAGCCAGCACTCTGTGCAGAGCTGCAGGAACCATACAAATCGATGCTTTTTTAATCATTCTAACTTAAAGAAGGCAGTAACAGTTTGGAGTTTTTCTTCTTTTCCCCCTGAAAAATTTTGTCCTCTGGCTCCCTGTAGCCCTTACCAGTGGTCACATCCTGCTGGGAGTTTTTCAGCCTCGCCCTCAGCTCCCCCCTGCCAGGGGCTCTCTGGCATGGGGACCACATGGCAGTGCCAGGCCCTGACAAGGAGCAGCTGTGCCACAGGGGCCAGCAGGGCACAGAACAGCAGAGAGCTGAGCACTGTGTGCCATGAGCTCCCTGGGGTTGCACGTTTGTTTTTTAGGGTGAATTCACCAAGTATTTGCAAATGAACAAACCTCTGGATGATCCTGAGGGAACTGGAAAAATTCTCACAGCAACCAAGCAAGGGTGTTCTGTGCAGATCAGCATCCTGGGCTGCTTTTCCTTTTAAATTGTAATTCAAGGACATTAGAATTTGCTATTTGTTTTATGCTCTGTTGACCAGCATAATCTGGATAATGTTTTATTTATAGTATAATAATGATTCGTCATTAGCACTGTCTCTATTCAAATTTGCACAGTCAAAAAGACAATAACAAGCTGCACTACACTAAGTAGCTCAATGAAACACACATCAATCAAGTAGATTTGTAGCTGTAGGGTGTCTAGTTTGAAAAACCAGACTTTGCCATTCCAATCTCTCCCTTGTGAGCACCTCCTGCGCATGTCCATCAGGAGCAGCATCCTTTGTTTTGGAACTAACAAATCAAGTGGATTTACAGAAGAGGAGTTGAATTATGATGAAATACCGTACTTGGTGTCAAACTATGCCTCCCTTGGGGGGTTTTTGTGCTTAGGGCTGCAAAACCTGTTCAGATCTGCAGCCAGGAATGATGGGAACTGAAGAGAGTCCACAGGACACAGCTGAGGCTGCTGCCACCAACTCCATGGCACAGCTCCCCAACCCCAAATACCAGGGGGTTGTCAGTCAGAAGCAAGGTCAGAGCTGTTGGTACACTCAAGCAAGAACCTCAGCTATCCTGACTGAATTTTGAAAGGAATAAAAAAAAAAATCACGAAATAATGCTTTTTCCAAACTTGTAATTCAGTCTCCAACTCAGCACAAATCCAGCATCAGCTGCAGCCCAATTAAAAAGCAGTCACAGTCATGGGAAAACAGTTTAGTTGGAGAAGAAAAAATCTTACCTGCATTAACAGTGGTGAGGCTCTAAAATAGAAGAAACACCAGCATCTTCCTATTCAACAGTAATGGAACAACCAACCAGGTCAAATAGAGTCTCTTGCAGCGCTCTCTGCTTTTGTCCTCAAGCCAGAGGGGAAAAAATCTCCACTGCTTCAGGGACTTTTTAATGTATTTTCTTCATTTTGTGGAAAATGCACACTGAGATCAGCCCAGCTGGTCAGAGCACAGTGCTGGTAACACCAAGGTCATGGGTTAGACCCCATAGGCACCATTCACTTAAGAGCTGGACTCAGTGATCCTTCTGGCTCACCTCCAACTCAGAATGTTCTGTCATTCCTCACCCAGCCACTGAAGCTGAGCTACACCAAGGGTTCAGAGCATCCCCCTGAGCAAACCCAAAGCTCAACTGCATTGCCAGCTGCCAGAAAAGGAGTGATGTGGGAAGCACATGGGGAGACCATGGCGTGTTTTGGCTTGTCAGGAGACCAGACTTGGAACTGCCACGCAGAGTTGGGCCATGGGAGCAGGGCAGGGGCCCCACAGGACATGGCCTGATGGCAGGAGTCGAGATGATGGAGGAGCCCCTGTGCCACAGCTGCCCCTGGAACACCTTCCCAGACACACCAGCGTTCTCCTTGCCTCTCATGTTTAACCATCCTTGGAAAACAAGGCAGCCTGATCCCAGACCAGCACCTCACATTCCGCCCTCACCCTGCTCATCTGCCCTTGGCAGCCCTACATTTATTTCAGCCCCCTCGGATGCAAATCCCATTTCGTTGTTCTCTTGCCTCATTCCCAGACAGAGTGTGGCTCTTTCATCATTACAAGCCAATTAAGCCTAGGCTACCTTATCTTAACAGCTCCAAATAAGCTGGTGATCTTCCTGAAAGGTGATACATTATAATTGGTTTCAAATTGGCTGCAAAAAGACACCCTACTAGAAACATGAGACTTGGAGGTTATTTGAATTAGCCCTGAAGTTAAAAATTGTCAAAAAACCCACCCCTACCTAAAGCTATCAAGGTGTTTGCTTTGAACTTCTAGTGTTGCTTCCCAGGAGCAAGACTTGGCGTCTTTTGTGCTAGAGATCCTGCTTGGAGCAACCTGGTCTCGGAAGGTGTGTCTGCCCATAGCAGGGTTGAAATGAGAGAATCCTGAAGGTTCCTTCCAACCCAAACCATCCCATGACTGAAATAATAAACACCTAAACAGCCACAAGAGAAACATCCCAATTGTGAGGTTTTAGAGGAGTGAAGAGCACTTACACTCCCACCCACATCTTAAAAGCCCCTGATGAAATGCAGCTCACACTGAGCTGTTCTAGAGGATGACCAAAAAAAAAAAAAAAAATCAGTTCAGGTTTTCAAAACACATCAAGTTCATTTAACTTGGACAGGAGAACATGTTCTGGCTTAGCAGGAGAACTGCTCTGAGAGGAGCTGTCAGTCCCTTCTAAGCCAGCAGAACTCCTTAAAGAAGAAGTGGTGGAAGAGTGTCTGAAGCAGGTGATGCTGAGCACTGTTAACCTGGGAGCACAGAGTATTTAACACAGATTTCTGAGCAGGTAAACTAAAGGATTAAAAACTATTTCAAGTTGCCATATTGAAGATGATAAGCAAGCCTATTTATTATATAGTACTTAGAGCTACTTAATTCCAATCCACTTCTCATGTCAGATATATTTAACTGAGGCGTTTCTGACTTCAATCGGGGAAGATT